GTGCTGATCAGTGAAACCAATTTTCTGGTTAGTACATGCCATTTTATAGATTTTGATAACTAGTGGCCTTACTGTCATTCATTTTGAAAAAACTTCACATTTTTATCTTAATTTTATCATTGACATAAAGGTTGTTCAGCAGTAGGTTGTTTAATATCCATTATATTCATATGGCTTTTAGAGTTACTCTTGGAATTGATTTCTAGTTTTTTTCTACTGTGGACTGAGAAGATAGTTTGTATGATTTTAATTATTTTTAATTTGTTGAGACTTGTTTTGTACCCTAATATGTGGTATATTTTGGAAAATGTTACATATGCTGATGAGAAGAATGTATATTGTGCACTTTGGGGGTAAAATATTTTGAAAATATCTGTCAGGTACATTTGTTCTAAAGTTCCACTTAAGTCTAGAATTTCTTTGTTGACTTTTTTCTTATGCTCTGTTTAGTAATATTAGTGGAGTGTTGAAATCTACCATAATTAATGTATTACTGTTTATTTATTTTGTTATTTCTAGCAGTATTTATATTATGCATCTGGAATCTCTGATGTTAGGTGCATTATATGTGGAAAATTTGTATCTTCTTGTGGAATATATTCCTTTATATGAGTAGTGTTATTGGATTGTCTTTTTTTTAAAACTGTTGCATTATATTAAGAAGTCTATTTCTTGGCTTGGGCGCAGTGCTTCACGACTATGTAATACTAGCATCTGAGAAGAGGCGAGGCAAGCAGATCGCTCAAGGATCAGGAGTTTGAAACCAGCTGGGCAAAAGAGTGAACTCATTCTACTCAAATAGAAAGAAATAATTGGCCAACTAAAATATAACTACGAAAATTAGCGCTGGGCATGGTGGTCATGCCTGTAGTACAAGCCATCTCGGAGAGGACTGCAGGCAGAAGGAATCGATTCAGAGCCAAGAGTTTGAGGGTTGGCCCTGACAAGGGTGCCATTATGAACAGGACTGGAAAAGCATGACCACATAATCATCAAAGAGAGCATAAGAAGGGGAGGGTAGACAGAAATTTAAGCTCAGGTTTGCAGAGATATGCATATTAACAAATTTATGGAGATCTATAACATATTCATGGAGGTGGACCATAAGTTATCTATTGACAAATAATGTATACATAATAGAAAATAGTTCGACCATGGATGCGGGATTAAACGTGTATATAAATTAAACAAAAATTAGAGGCTATATTACATCAAAAGGTTTTATTTTTAGCGGAAAAGAGCACTCAGGATGTGAGCTCCATATAAAAGGCCAAAGCCAAGCGCCGTCAAGGTGAGTGATCTACTTGTGTCAGGGGAAGATATATTGAAGTCAGTCTCATTGCTCCATCCAAAAGCTGATGAATTAATAAGGCATATGGAACAAGAGGAGCGAAGAGCATCAGATCTCAGAATGGCGAGCGTAAGAAATTAATATGTTAATGTTGCGTCAGTAGATGGAGGCAGTGTCATACTTAGCTGCTAGAGAAAAGAAACCTCGGCTGAGCAGTTTGAAATAAGCGCTGGATTATTTAAGTGACGCGGGCGTGTGATTAACCTGGTATTCAGTGTCTTAGAAGACTCTGATTTATTAACCTGGTTCATATAATTGCATGATGAGTACCATGATCTATCAGCTTTGTGATATATTTTAACATTAATAAGCGCTAGATGTGATACATGTTAAATCATAAAAAGGATACGGACGAAGGTATAATGAGAGGCTTGTCTGACTCCTCAGGCCCATCATGTCTGGAAAACATCAGTTTTTAGGTCCCTTGGCAAAGAGAAGGTGTTCATCAATCAGATCAGTCTGGGGATGTCGCAATTATTAATTTTTAGTGATATAGTATAAAAAATATTATTTCCCAGCGAGGAACAATAAATTCAGTGACAGCTTTATAATTCACAAAGCTGGAGAGGGTGGCGATTGAGCCACACGCACCGAGCCCACACAGCAGCCCAGGGTGGCCATGAAAGCCTTGAAATGCAGTAGGGTGGTGATTAAGGAACTAGATAAGGTGCTCCAGCCATAAAAAATATGCTTCGTGTCAAGAGGTGGCCAAAAAAGAAAAATTTATATGGAAGAGATTGTCTACTGGTGTATTGGAGAGTGAGGAAGCGGGAATCATTGAGGCCACATAGATTAAGTAGCAAAGCTATTCTGCAGCAATAACTAGAACCACAAAGAAGTAAATGAGAGAATAAAGAGACAATAGTAAAGAGCCAGCTACTCGGAGAGGGACTGAGCAGAGAGCATCAAATGTGATCCCAGGAGTTTGGATGTTCTGCTAGTGAGCTAGGCCTGCACCACGGCACCACTAGTGTAGCGGAGCATACAGTGGGACTAACGCAGACTGTATCTCAAAAAAAAAAATAAATAAAATATGAAATAAAGAAAATAATCAAAATAAATCATGATAAATAAAAATAAGTATATAATCCATCCAATGAAAAAATAAAACGCAGGCAGAAGAAGCTATCGCCAAGATGTCTAAGATGCTGTAATTAGCAGACAAGGATTTAAAAGCAGGCATTATAAAAATATTCATAGTTGTAAAAGAAAATATTCTAATGAGTGAACAGACAGAAACCTCAGTAGAGAAGTGGAGATTATTAAAAAGACCAAATAAAAAGATAGTAAAATAAAAAAAAATATTTTTGAGCACATCCAGATTAAACACAGTAGACAAAGCAATATGTATTATCCTATCTAAAGAAAAGTGTTAAAAAAAAGTTTGAAAAATTGAACAGAGCCTTAGAGATCTGTAGAATTATTGAGTCTGAGAAGGAGATGGGAAAGACAGAAAATTTAAATGAAGTACAAAAGTACATCAACACCACTAGCTGAAAACTTCTAAAAATTGTTTAAAACCTAAATAATGTTTATATCTTAAAGTCAACAACCTCCCACAAAACACAAATAATACTATAAAAAGGCCATTCTGTGATTTAGAAAACAGGCTTTCCTAGCTTTGTTGTTGTTGTTGTTGTTGTTGAGATAGGGTTTCACTCTGCTGCTCAGGCTGAAGTGAAGTGGTACAATCGTACTCACTGCAGCCCCCAAGTGTTGGTGGACTCCCTGGAGGCAGTTGGAAGCAAGGGTGAGACCACCATGTAGGCTCCAGGCAGGGATTGAGGGATAACTGGGGCGGGGGGCGTACACACTGGGAAACAGCTTCCAGGCCTCCTGTGACCAGTGCTTAGTGTTTCCCATGGTTGCACAAACTATCCGGACCAAACAGGGCTGCTCCACAGAGGACAGTCCTGCAGGCGCCCTATTTTCCTCTGGCCCAGGGCACATCATGGCTCCCTGCCCAGCATGCATGCACCGGGAACTGCAGGCCTAGCCATTCAGGACCCCTCTTCCAAGCTACATTCTTTCTTGGTCTCTTTTCTTTCCTTCCTCTGATCCTTTACAAAGGGCAATCCAGCCCACTGCAGATTTCTCTCAGTACTGCAGTGCCTGCAGGGTTCTAGTCACCAGGGACTGCTAAGGTCATGGTTGGTGGCTTGCGTCCCACCCAGCAGTGCTGCTTGGGGCTGGCACAATCACTTCCTCGAGGATGTGGGGCATAGGTAACCCACTGCTGCTGTGATTCCTGCTCTTGCAGCCCTGCCTCCCACAGGCTTCTAGTGCTGGTTGTATTAACACCCAGATGCATACTTTTTTACCTAGTTAACTAGTGCCCTCCCTGCCCTGCCCTGCAGGAGATGAGGCCATCAGCGGGAAGCCAGCCAGTAGCCTGTGTATAATTCACAATCACTCATCAGTACAGCGTAAGATTGCAATGAAAGAGTATAAAACAAAGTAAATTTAAAAAATCAAAATACAATTACTCAGTAACAAATTTAATGGGAAATGTGCAGTCTATACAAACAAAATAATAAAGCATTTCTGAAATATATGAATGAAGACTTAAAGAAATGGAGAGTCATATCTTGTTGTTGGATAGAAACAAAATCAATAATATAAAGAGGTCCATTATCCTTAAGCTAACTGCAACATTTTATTGGATCTCCTAATAGATTCTGTCAGATTTTTAAAGCTGGCAATGATTTTTCAAATTGCACATGGAAAAACAAACATATAAGTATAGCCAAAATTCCTGAGGAAAACACATAATGAGGATTTTTACTCCCATAAGATATTAAAACACATTAAAATGTTCTATAGTTAAAGCAGTGTGGTGTTGAGGATAGTAGACAAACAGATTAGGACAGCAGAAAATTCCCAAACCTACCAAAGTGTATAAGAAAAGTTAAGAAATAAAAAAATACAACCTTTACTGAATCTGAAATTTTAAAATGTTTGTCATCATACAGTTTCCAATTTTGAATACAATATACATTATTCATAAGTGGATATAACCTTTTTTTTTTCTTTTGAAACAGAGTCTCTCACTGTCACCTGGGGCTAGATTGCCCTGGCATCAGCCTGGCTCACAGCAACCTCCAACTCCTGGGGTCAAGCTATACTCCTGCTTCAGCCTCCCCATAAGCCGGGGCCTCATGCATGGGCCACCATGCCTGGCTAAATTTTTTTTTTTTTTTTTTTAGTTGTTTGGCTAATTTATTTTTATTTTTTTAGTAGAGACAAGGGTCTTGCACTTGCTCAGTGTGGTCTCGGACTCCTGAGATGAAGCAATCCTCCAGCCTGGCCTTCCAGATTGCTATGGTTACAGGTGTGCGCCACTACACCCTGCTTAGATATAACCTACATACAAGGTTAAATGCAAATGTGCTGCAGGTAGCAACAGGTCCCAGCACAGACAGAAAGCCTAGGTTGCCGCCATTAGTAGGTGGATCTCATTATATGTCAGTCAGGGCTCTAAGGGGTGTGGTCTAGAGCCTTACCCAATCAGAAATCCTGGAACGGGAACTCTCCAATCAGGCACGAGGTGGGAGGGTGGGACTTCCGGGACCTTCTGGGGCCTTTGTCTCCTGCCGGTCCTCCATGCTTCTTTTTGTCTTCAGTGCTCCTTCTTTGCTTTGGGGAACTCAGGTGACCCTCTGCCTTTGTCACTCTCTGAACTGCGGGTTCTGAAACATCTGCAAGAAGGATCCCAGGGCACCACGGAAGTTGGAAAATGGTGAGTGTGAGTGGCCGGCTGTGCCAGGGGATTTGAAACCCCGCGGAACTGGCTGTGGCAGGACCCCGGCTTCCCGCCCGACCCGGAGTCTGGGGACAAGGGACTCGTTAGGCCGGCTCGGCCCTCAGTCCCCTGCGGCTTAGAGCGGGGTTGGGCCGCAGCCAGAACCAGGGGTGCCCTGTCTCATCCTCTGGGGCATCTGTGGCCCCGTGGGAGTCGTCTGGGTAGTTCTGTGATGCATCCCTGCGTCTCCCCTGCATTGTGGGGTGACTACAGGGTCATCAGGGAGGAATTTCGGCTGGTGCGCGGGGAGTTCATGCCTGGGAGGAGCTGTAGCCCCCGGGGTCCCCGCCACTCCACTCTCATGTTAAAAATTAAACTAGGGCACCGCTTAAAAACGTGACGGAATTTATTAAAGCAAACCTCGACTTATGGTTCAGAGAGCAATCATCTATGGTTTGTTTTTGGGGTCCCTCAGGAGAGCTTGAATCAAAGACTTTCATAAAGTCCAGGAGACAGGAAACGAAATTCAATAATTGAGTGGTTATAGTTGTGTAGTCTTTATGTCATCATAAAAAGGAGTCATAAAAAAGTAGATTTCAGAAAAACTTTATTTATATATTGCATTTTTAAAACTTATTATGTACCTATTTTCTTCCCCAGAGTGAGTGTAGTAGGTCTCCCAGGTATGTTGCTTTTTCACGAGTGATTTTTCTTTTTTTGAGACAGAGTCTCACTCTGTTGCCCGGGCTAGAGTGAGTGCCCTGGCGTCAGCCTGGCTCACAGCAACCTCAATCACCTGGGCTCAAGTGATGATCCTGCCTCAGCCTCCCGAGTAGCTGGTACTAACGGCATGCCTCACTATGTCCGGCTAATTTTTTTTCTATATATTAGTTGGCCAATTAATTTCTATCTATTTATAGTAGAGACGGGGTCTCGCTCTTGCTCAGGCTGGTCTCGAACTCCTGACCTTGAGCAATCTGCCCGCCTCGGCCTCCCAGAGTACTGGGATTACAGGCATGAGCCTCCTTGGATGAATTCTATGGCTGTAGAATGGCATTACTTAGAGTGGGCTCCAGATTACAAAATGATTTATAGGCACATTCTAAGAGATTCTCCCTCCAGGCACCATCACCTGTGCCCTCTCCCACAGAGTGTCCATTGGTCTAGGTGGGACCATGGATGTGATTTTAATGAAGTGCCCACATGGTGCTAAGTTGCAGCTAGGGGAAAGTACAAGGGCTCTGAGCTATATCCATGGGACTTGAATTCACACGTTGTTCCAAAGGAAGGTCACAGGCCCTGCTTTGCTTATGTTTTTTAGGGACTGGTCAGTGTGGTGCGTATTCGCACTACTGCAGCAAAAATTGCTGGTGACTGGCAGTTGAGTGTACCTGAGGGTAGGAAAGAAAAACACTCAAATTTTGATCTTTATGTAGGAGCTCATTGCTCCTTACTCTCTCCTGTGATAAAGGACAGGGAAGTGTGAATTGTTTCTGCACTTCATGGTCCTTGTGCTATAGGTGTGGTGGTAGCAGGGGAAAGGGTTGTGCTGACACCTTTAGATGCATATCCTCGAGATACATGTGTGATCCTTCCAGATAATCTTAACAAAAGCAATTTCATAGAAGGAGGAAGACAAAGAAGTGGCTGGTTCTCAGGTGAAGGTGTCCCTGGACTGGGGCCGTGTTCACTTTTCCTCTCGGAATGTCATGTTTAGACTTTGCAAACTTGTATTTTTCTCCTTTGATTTTTGTACCTAATCTGTTCATCTCAACTGCTTTTTTTTTTTTTCCCCTTTTTCTTAAAGATAGTCAAGAATCTCTGAAAAATTCTTTTTCTCTATATACTAGAGCCTTCTCTCCATCCAGGCTTCTTGTACACCATCAACAATTGTCACCATACATTTATAACCTCCAATATTAAAAATATTCCCTTTGTGGCTGTTGAACATCTTGGAAGCAGAATCTTTGATGCCCAAGATTACTATTGGAGATGAGTTGAGTCCCTAGGATAGCAGGGAAGAAGGGGAATATGTACTGTTTAGTTTTTATCTAGATGCTCTATCAATTCTGTGTAGAATAAGATTAATAGAATACACATTAATTGTTCAGAATAACTGAGAACATTGAGAAAAAGAATTATTAGAAGAGACTTGCTCTGTAGGATACTAAAGAAAGACTATTTAAATACATTATTAGAGATTACAGAACAAAACATATCTATCTGTAGCTTGAACTTTGCATAAAACTGATGTTCACAATTAGATTCAGATTATAATTTACTTTTTTCCTTTGGCTAAAAAATATCAAAATACCACAGCAGTGATGGTATGTCTGTGTGCATTCACACCTGATAGTAATTTGTTTTATTATAGTTGATATTAATTGTATTCACTTGGCTAATGTGTTTTCTATAATTTTTCTAATTTAGAGTTAATTATTTTTCTGTTAATTATTAAGTATCTTGAGAAGCTTTACCTAGTGATGGGCATAAACCATCACATTTTATGTGGAAGATTCCCTTTTCTTTTTAGATTCCCTTTGTATATAACCTGCTTTGGAAAATAAAGGCTCTCATCTTGGTTTCCTGGTCAGATGAACTTAGATAAATCCAGGCTCTGCTGCTTACTGAATGTTTTAAAGATATTCCCTTTCAGCCAGAAGCATTGATGTCACTTGGTAGAAATTCAGAAACTCAGGCTTCACCCCAGAATTTTGGGAATCAAAAGCTGTATTTTAACCGAATTTTTAGTCCATTGTAGTATGCAGTGAAGACTTTCCAAAATGTCAGAAGTATTAACACCTTGTAACTCAACATGAGTTTTCCATCTGAAAAATATACACACATTATCCTGTATGATATAAATATAGTACTCAAAAATATAAATGCCTGTGTTCGTGACATGAATTTTATACCTTATAATCCAGAAAAGTGTAATATCTACACGAGTTTTGTGGACATTATATCATCTTCTCTCCCCAGACACAGATAACACAGTAGAGCATATTTCTGTGTTAAAAATTGTCTTTTTGAATAATTCCAGTTACTCATATGAGTCAGAATCAGTTCTCTTCACTTTGTTATTTCACCAGCAGTGAAATTAAGAATTCTCCACAAGAGTATTTGGTAAATATGTGTTTTGTTTTGTTTTATTTTTTCAGGGACTGTTGACATTCAGGGATGTGGCCATAGAATTCTCTGTGGATGAGTGGGCGTGTCTTGACAATGCTCAGCGGAATTTGTATAGGGGTGTGATGTTTGACAACTACAGAAATTTGGTCTTCGTGGGTAAAGATCATTTCAATACACAATTTTTATTCCACACTAAGTATTTCTGTATATTCTACCTTTGTAGAATTTTTCTGGGATTTTCTGCTTTGCATGAGTGAAGTTCAGATGTTTGTTTCCAAGGAAAAATTGGAATTTGTTGGTATAAGAAAGAAAATTTTCAATCTGTTTTATCTTGATATTAATCTTTCCTTTCTTGAGCTGATCTGTATCCTTCACTCTTCATTAGTGATAATTCCAAAGATTTAGTGGCATAAGATGTTGTTTTACAAGCTTAAAATCAAATTTCCACCACCAATATTTGATTCTACAATATTAGGTAATGAAGCTAAGGACCCCCAAATTTTAAATACTTTCTAAATATTCTGAAGTGTCTTTCAGGAATTAGTTTTTTGGGATTATTTATTTATTTTTTTTTTTAGAGTCTTCTGTACTGTTCCCACTGTTCTACTGAGCACAGTACTCGATTGGTAATGGAAGAATCTCAAAAATTGTCTGTCACTTTTCTTCAAATATAACAGGTCTTGCTGCCTCTAAGCCAGACCTGATCACCTGTCTGGAGCAAAGAAAAGAGCCCTGGAATGTGACAGACAAGTGATCAGTAGCCAAACACCCAGGTAAGTGGGAGTGAATGAAGCAGGTGACACAGAGAGAGAGGTCCAAAGTTCAAGGAGGAAGCCAGACCTTAAAAAGTGCTTTGGAAAACTCTGCTTCGATGGAAATGGTTTCTAGGAAGTCTTGGTTTCTTTCTCTTAATCTTTGATAGAGTCTTTGCTGTCCCTTATTCTTAAATTATCTAAGGACTTTATGTCCATTCAGTGTTGTTCTCCTCTCCTCTCCTCTCCTCTCCTTCCCCTCTCCTCTCCCTCTCCGCCTCTCCCTCTCCCTCTCCTCCTCCTTCCCTCTCCTCTCTCCCTCTCCCCTCGCCCTCTCCCTCTTTCTCCTCCTTCCCTCCCTCCCCTTCCTCCCTCCTTTCTCTCTTCTTTCTTTTCTCTCCTCTCTCTCTCTTTTTCCTCCTCCCTCCCTCCTTCCTCTCCTCCCTCCCTTCCTCCCCTCCCTCCGTTGTCCGGCTAGAGTGCTGTGGCACAGCCCTCGCGCTCACAGGCAGCCTCAAA